TTTTTTTAGACAAATACAATGATTTTACTCTCAGTAGATGATGTGGGATCTCATCAGAATCACATGACTTCAGATATAATTGGAGAGATAAAGATTTGTTAGGGCCTATTGGGGAAAAAAGGGGACCTTGTCTTTCGTAGGCTAGGAGCCAGTGTTACTAAAAGGGAATGCTGTTTAAATGAAATTTAATCATTTCAATTTCCATCAGAACTGTACTTTTGAACTCATGAAATTTTGTGCAGAGTAAGGGAATACAGACAGCTTTTTTTTTTTTTTGCAAGATGAAAAGCAGAGCTATAACAGAGATACTTCTTTCAGTCAGAACAGCCGGATTACTTTTAAGTCAAATTAACTAGAATATTTTGAAACTGTGCAGTTGGAAGACACACAAACTAGGATATTTCAGAGTTGTTTTTATTTTGCTGCCTTGGTTATTAATGAGGAATTTATCACTGGCTCATAGAGAACTTGGAAATGTAAGACCAATAGGTATGATCCAGGACATCAGCTTCTGGTCTTTGCTATTACAGCAGCTGTGTTATAAACTTAGATTATTGTCTTAAAGCCTATAACTTTTTTTGGCATGTTTTCTGCTCCCTGCCCAATTTCCAGTCTAAACCACCAGTTTACTGAGTTATACTCTGGACGCACAGATAAAAGTCACATCTTCCTGTACACTGTTTCCTAAGAACACACAGAAGCCCAAAGATGAGCTTTTTTCAGTAGAAACTACTGAAGAACTGGAAAACATTTGACCTGCAGTGCTGTGAGAGCTTCCGCAGCTGCAGAGCCATGAAATGGGAAAAATCTCAATGAGCCTGTCTGTGGAAATGACCCTGGGAAGCTGAGCCCAGGGGACTATAAGACCCAGGGAATTTCTCATCCCTTGCCTGTTGGCTGCTGGTGTCCTTCCCAGCTCAGGCTAGGCATGCATTCAAGATGCAGGTGCACATACACACACGCACACACACAACACTAACATGGCCACACAGACCAACCCAGAGAGAGCTGTGCCTTTACCAGCACCCACAGAAACAACAGCATCACTCCCATCAGCTAGCTCACTCCTCTTCCTCCTCTCTGGCTAAGCAGGTTTGCACATCACCAGTGAAACATGCACATCCTTTCCCTCTGTAGATGCTCAAGCACATCACAATAATGGTCCTTCAGATATTGTCAGAGGCTTTACATCCATACCAAGACCTCAAGGCTCTTACCTAGCCACCAGCTCAGACCTTGGGCTTTCCAGATACATTTCCTCTCACTCTCTGGCTGGTTCAGTTTGAAGTTCCCTAGTGAATTACAAATAGACACAGACATGAATATGTTCAGGGGTATATTAATTAATTCGGATTCATTGAAGAAAAACAGACACAAATTTGGGGCTTTCCAGTTCCTGGTACCTGGACCTACAGGCCTCTATGACCCATACCCCTTTCTTAGAAAGACCAGCAGAAACACAACTGAGCCCATGCAGAGCCAGCCTGGTTAAGAGGGAATGCATTTGCAAGGGTTTGCATAGATGATGTTTCTACCTCACCCTTGGGAAGCCACAGAAGAAGCCAGTACCAAGAGCTTTGCTCTTATTGATGTTTTGGTGGTCATTTGGTCCTCTATCCTCAGCCTCCAGCAGCTTCCTAACACTGCTGAGCTCCAGAGAGCTTCACATGCACTGTACGTGGCCATTGCTCCTGCATGGAAGTGGAGAGTATTCAAGCCAGGTCACACTTCTTTCTATGTGAGTTATGTGCAGGAAAGATCACTCCTTGGCTTCCTCTTCTGTCAGAATCACTGCCATAACTGGATGGAGGCAGGACTATCAGGGGGATGAATCCTAAACACTGTTCTTGTTGCATCTCCAAACAGCCTTTCCTGTAATCTCTAAAGACTCTCCAGGAGCCTGGTTATGAGGAGAAGATGCATCTGGAAAAGGGCAGCACAGCAGGATAAACTCTTCCAAGTCTAAAATTAAACTTAAGAGGGCTTAAGAGATCAGTTATACAAGATACCCAAAAATAACTTAGAATAAATCCTAAGAGGAACAGTGAAAGCACTGCTGACATCTTCAGTTCTCAGTGAGATGCATGTCTGCATGTTGAAGTTTGAATATGGTCTATAAATACCACCAGTGGTTACCATTGAAAATGTAGGAGGGGTTGGTTGCCAGCGCTCCAGCAACAGGAACAACGAAGGGAAGTTCTCTTCATCAGAAACTGCTTGTGCAATTCCTACCACAACCTTTAGCCATTGTATCAGCCATTGAAAGTGAAGTGACCTCCTTCCAGGCTTTTCTCTGTCTCCAATCTACAGTCATTGTTTGCGCTATAGCTCCAAAAGGACTTTTTCTGGACACTCCAGCATTTTCTGTTCAGATTATTTCAACTGGAGGCCTCAGCCACAGCCAGCTCTCCTGGGAGAGATGGTGTTTTGAGCAAGCTGGTTTGAGGGAGAACAAGAATGCGCATTCCTCCAAATAGTCTGTGATCACACTCTCTACGAGGCACCTGCAGCCAAATGCTGTGGTACCATCAGTGTCCTCAGTACCCATGCGTGTCAGAAAGGCTTTGTACCTTGCCATGTATCTGAAAGTGCCTTTCTGAAAAATGTCTATCTCCAACTCTCAGAACAGCCTGTGCAGGTTGCTGTAGTAGCCAACGTCATTCCCCTTTGGCTGTCTTGCGATAACGTGCTGAGAGTCAGGTATTTGTTAAAGGCTTTCAGTAATATGGCTTCAGATTCAGTGCAAGCACAAGTGAGAGATGACTCAGTACTAACCAGTTAGCTTGAAATCAGGTTAAAATAAAGCTGTGATAAAAGTAATAGCTTACATGTGAAAACAAAAACTGACAAAACCAAACCAAAACCACACATCCATACAGCTAGAATGAAAAATCCTGCTTAATCTGCTTATATCAAGTCCAAATCTAAAGGTCACTCTCCCTATATTCCCTTGATTATATGTCAATGCACTCCTGATGTACCTCATGCCCTAAAACTCAGAGGCTTTGGATAAGAATGATTCCTTACAGCACAGTATCTTTTCTAGTCCACCTGTTTCCCTGGATTTCTTGGTCAGGGCCTAAAGTACACCATGTATGAAAAATTGAGAAAGTTGGGCTTGTTCATGTCCCTACAAATAGAGGAAGGATGACTACAAAGATGACATAGCAGCTAGAGGAGTTCAGGTTGGGCATAAGGAAGCACTTCTCCAGAGAAGTGGTAGTGCAGCCCTGGGGTGAAACTCCATCCTTGAAATCACTAAAGAATGGATATCATCATCCTCAAAGTATTTCACAGTTTGGCTGGGCAAAGTCACAGCTGACCTGATCAGGTGTTAGTGATAGCCCTGCTCTGAACAGAAGGCTGGACAAGAGACCTGCAGGGTCTCATCAACACAACACTTCCAGGATGCTGTGATTTCTGTGATCCACCAGGTCTGTCTGTCCTAAAACTTATAACATGCTCATCTGACATTCCTTCTGCTCAGATATTGACCACCCTACCCACCTGTTTTGAAATAGAGTCGGTGCTTGATAAGTCAAGTATCACTTCCTTTCCTTGACCATCCTCTTGACAGCGCCTGGATTCACAGAGTAGAAGTCCTTCCCTATGCAACGGAGATATTGAAATGTTAATTTCAATGTCAAGTGAACCATTTCTTTTATAGCAACCTGTACAGAGACAAACAGACTACAGACTATGCACACAACACTTTTCAGCATATTTAACATAGGTTTAAAACTGAAAAAAAAGTTGTAATAATAGGATTATAATAATAGATTGTTATTTCAGCACAGTTATCATTTGAATGGTTATGTTTATCTCAATCCCACCAACAGAGACACCAAAAAGATTAACATTTTATATTGGTTTGTACATATAATTAATTATAACTCAGAAAAAATTACACACTGACTTCAACATCACCCCAGCATTTCACTGTTTATTCTTTTTTAATAGCGCACATTTACTAAATCAGTCTTTTCACTGTGCAATTAAAATTGAGCAAGACTAATAAAAAACCTCCTCCTGAAGCTGCCTTTGCATCAATTAAAGTCTTAAAGGGCAAAATGGATTCTTCCCCATTGCCTCTGGCAGGCATGCTGGGCTCTGATTCCTCGAGGCAGGCAGGCTATTGGTCACCTTGGAACATACTCTACTGAAGGAAACACGTACCCTTGGTGTATGCCTGCACCTAGTGCAGAGGAATTATTTTATAATCTCTTTGATTACCTGAAGAAGTAAAAAGAAAGGTCAATATATCCACACTTAAGATACATTTCCTGCTCAGAAGCAATAGGTTTCTCCAGAATGCCTGCAAAAACAGAGGTGGAGTCCTAAACAGAGAGAATTTCATTTACAATGATAAATGAGTGCAGCAACCACAAAGCAGAGGGAGTGGCACAGGGCTGTGTGATGGTCATGGCAGGGCATTTACCTGCTTTTTAAACTTTTTTAAAAAATGCTATGCAATTGCTTAGCTTGTGCTTCAGGTTTTGTCTGTCCTAGTCACGTGTCTCATCTGCCTATTGAGGCACCTGTGCCCATGGCAATGCTCGCTGGCACTGGGAGGTTTGGTCAGACCCTGGTGGGACACAGGCTTTGTCCTGACAATGAGGAGAGCAAAAGTGTTGGTGCAATAGGCCTGTGCCTTCCCAATGCTACTCCATCTGGAGTGCAACACTATTCCTGGCCTTGGGAGAGAGTAGCACTGACCCATCAGAGACCCAACCACCAGAGAGAACACTTTTCTGCACTACCTGTATTTCATACTCCTGACCAAGGGACTGTAACCTTAAGGGAGAGGAGAGTCCATCCTTGCGAGTACAGCATTTCTGGTCCAGGCTGGAGCACAGGTAAATGTCTGCTCTCTGTGTGAGACAACTTAATGATCACATAGAGTCTCAGGTGGGAGAGATGGCAGGAACACCAGTTAGAAAGAGGAGGTAGAGCAAAGCCAGTCAACTTCTGTCTCCTAAAACAATTCTTTTCTTTTAAAGGTGAAAAATGTCGAAGTTTTATTGACCTTGCCCCGGCTTCTGAAAAAGGTAAGACAATACAGTCAAGATTTCTTCCCATTTTACAAACTGCATCAGTATTGTTTCTTGTTGTACTTTAGTGCCAGGGGAAACATTACTACCTAAGCACACAAGGATCTACATGTCATCCAGATTACATTCAGCCAGGTAGAACAAATGCCAAGGGTTTAAGACAGCTGTTTACTCCATTTATGCAGATCTGTCATTTCTCTGATGCATTTTCCCTTCCTTCAGCTGAACTTTTTTCAAGAAATTAATATTTATTGTAATACAGACATTCCCCTTCTTCCTCTAATGAGGAAGAACATACTACATGGTTTCCTCAGGTCACAAAGACCTTTATGGTCAGGAAACTGTAGTTACAGTACCAAATGTGTCTTTGTGAGAGGGAATAACACAGATACTGGTTTGTTTTATTTACCTTTGGAGGGTGGGGGGGGAAATTATATCTATGTGTATATATATATATATATTCAAGTGCACAAAAAGAGGCAAGCTGCAAGGTTTTCTTTACCCTGGTATTGGAGTTGTAAATTCCAAATAGCAATTCAACCCATGTTTCAAAATATTATGTATAAGGAAAAAAAATGGGTAGAGTTCAAATAAACTGGGCCATTGAGCCCATCCTGCTCCCCGCTCAAGAAAGAGCACTCTGTCCACAGCTGAAGAGGCTCACAAGCCTTGCAGTGTCCTTCACACTAGCAATGGTCTTGGATGATGAAAATTCCTGTTTGTACGAAGAAGCCGTGTATTTTGTTAGATCACTTGAGACAATCACAAAACCTTTTGGGCGTATGGTACCTTCATCAGGACTGACAGAGAGGCAGCACGTGGTGTAAGGAACAATTGTTCTTAGTTTGTCTAAATTGCTGATCAGCTGGACAAATTGAAAGAGAAGGGCAATTACTATTAGTAAAGCAAAGAGATATTTCGGTGAGAGAAACAGTAACAGAGACAGTCTCCATGAAATTCATTGTAAGTGAACCTAAACAAATTATGCACAGAAGGGAGGAACAATCCAGGGGTTACTGCCACCAATGGGCTCCAAATCTTACACACACAAGTGGGACCTTGGGGCGTAACTGTCCTTAAGAAAACATGAGCTCAATACTCAGCAGCAGTCAAAAAACAAACTATCTGTTTGAAAGCATCAGGAAAGGACTTGAGAACAGAGCAGAGAGCATCCTGTCGCACAAGGACCATATACATCTGAAATCTTCGCCTTAATATAGAATGTAGTGTGGTATTTTGTCCTTTTTAGTCCAGTTTACACAACAGCAGCAAGGATAATCAGAGGTCTGGAAGGTTGTGTACAAGGATGAGACTAAGACTCTTCAGCCCAAAGGAGAGACATGTGAGAGGAGATATGATGGACATTGATAAAGATGGCAGAGGAACTGCACAGGCAACCTGGGGAATGGTAGTTCTCTGCCTTTCCCAGTACAAGGACTAGTGGGCATTGCATGACACCTTCAGGAGACAGACTCAAAACTACGATGTGTTTGTTATAAAGGCAATTGGGACATTTTTGTGCTTTATCCATTTTCTCTGCAAGTTCATCATGGTGCACAATGCTTGCTTGCATCACCCACACACTTTCCAAAACAGCATTTAGTGCTTTACTTTTAAGTATTTCTTTTGGTTGTGTGAAACACTGTCAGCAATTTTTTTTTAATTGAATTTTAGAGTTGCTGCATGATGTCAGTATATATTTCTAGACTATTCTATTTTTCCTTTTTGAGGAAAGAAGGCTCTTTTGGTGTAGTGGTATAAAGAAACTTATAACTATTTCTGAAGTCTTGCCATGGAGTTGTAAGGCATATTGTAAGAAAGAGAAGGGAATGCTCAGTCAGAGATGGAAAGTGCTGACCATCTGATTTATAAACAACTGTAGATCAACTTGGACACTGCAACATAGTTGATCTGAATTTTTCACCATCAATCTTGTACTGTCCAGAGATAGTTTCATCACATGTAAAGAGAAAAATTGTGTGTCAATGATGCCCAACTTACTTTCAATGCAGAATTCAACTTCTTAACTTCTTTTCTTCTCTTTTCCATTAGAAAGAGCTTCCTACTCCTTTAATTTCTTCATCCCCTCACTCAGCATTGACTTTAATGGTCATAGGCTTGTCAACTACTCATTTACACCCTGTGCTGGAACAGATTCTTGATTCTTCTTCCAAGTAAATGGGATATAATAAAATGCAAATATATTAAATGGAGCTCAGCTATACAAACCTATTGTGGTTCTCACAGTCCATTGTGTAACTGGGAACTTTTGGATTAATCTGTGCAATGAGACTTCAGCTTATTCAGTTTCTTAGCATCACTTACCACTAAAATGTGGTTGTTCAAGGTTTTGATTATCTAAAATGTCTCCATGTGTACATGCTCTGTTACTGCAACTGAGCACTCAGGCTTTCTAAAGATTTTTTTTCACTTGGTTGTCACTGATCCAAAGATGACCTCTATTTAACCCACTCCTAAGCCTGTGCCTACTTCTGAGCACATCATCTTCCAATTTTAAGGCACACTAAAAGGAAGCTTAAGAACAAACTTTGTTTAGTTGTGTAGCCAGTCTCTTCTAGAGTCCCTCACCAATTAACAGCAAGTCAGCATAAGACATCTGCATAATATTAAAACCTTCTTAGCACAGAGAAGCTAATCACCAAAACATTCACAGTAAAATAAAAACATCTATGGTGAGGCCTAGTTACATCCTTACCACAAATCTTGCATTCATAAATGAAAATGTTTCTTATTCTTACTGTAAAAATGTAATAGCTTATGCTTGAGCTTCCTATCTTGAATCCATTTGTGCTGATCTCTGGTGTAGCTGGATATTATATTTCTGATCAGTTATTATACCCTTTGAATACATTGTACTAATGACATCTAAAAGGAGGCAGCAAAATTTGGGGCACACAGACCCACAGGATGGTATAAATAAGCATTTCCAACCCACACTAGGAGAGCTCTTCCCTGCATTTAAGGCAGCTGCCAACAATCTGTCAGAACCTTGTAAGCTTAACATTGAATTTATTAGTTATTGCTGGTTGTTAGTGCCAGATCTACTTAACAAAATCAGCTTGGTGATGGTAGATAACAACTAGAAAAAAAAATTCTGGGTCCACAAATATTTCTTATGACAGTTTCCATTCGCTGTTGACAAAAGATGATACAGCAATAGCTGGTTACGTTGGCCAGGACTTCTAATGGGCTCTCACAGAGCAGATGTTGTTGGGTCCCACACTGTGCTATTTTATAATTTTCATTGCAGATGTGAGCAGTAAGATAACAAGTATTCCCAAAAGGAGCTGGAAGGAAACTGCCACAGTAGGCTGGACCTGATCCTTCAGTTCTGAATTGCTCCTG